CGGCGACGCCAGCTCCTCCGGGCCCGCGGGGACGGCGAGAGGCTGAACGTCAGCCTGGGGTCCTGCCGGGAGCGGGTGGTAGGTGCTGGTGGGGATCGGACGGGGGGGAGGAAGGGGTATGGTCCTCGGCCACTCGTCTGCATGTAGGGGGTGGGGATGAGGGGGGTTCCTAGGGGAGCACAGCCCCCGGTGATGCTTCAGCCTCGAGGGAATTTTGACCGAGGTCATGGAAACTCCCCAGCAGTGATGGGAAGGAAACGGCGGGTGAGAGAAACTTGGAGAGAAAAGGCTGGCCGGAAAGGTGAGGTGGGAAATGGGAGAGGAGCCCTGGGATGGGGGGATTGGCAGCACCAAGAGGGTGCATGGTCACCCCCCTGCATGGGATACCCCAAGAGCAGAAGCCCGGCTGCCCCCGGTCCCTCGGCACAGCCCCGGTCCCACCGTGCCCAGCAGCTATTCTGAGCCGTGACCGAGCTGCTCCTCACACGTGTAATTACCCCGTCCCACCGCGGCAGAGAAGGTCGGAGCGGTGCCCAGCTGCCCTTTCTTCCCTCCAGGGTATTTTTAGCTGCAGCCCTGGCCGGGAAAGGGCCTGGCCCCAGTGCCATGGCCGCAGCCCTGAGGAAGAGCCGGGTCCCACCCCCCCTCCGGGCTCATCCGGCTGAACAATGGTCCGGAGAGGTTGGAAAAGGGCTCCAGCTTCTCGGGGCTGGCCAGCTGGCAAGGAGCTCTATCACCTCCCAGGCACTGGAGATACCAACCACGGAATGCTTGGGTGGCCCAGGGCTCCTGTGACATCCCTGGATCACCAGGATAAGCAATCCCTCCAGGGAAGAGGGATCTTAGAATCATAGAACTATTCAGGTTGGAAAAGACCCTTGGGATCACCGAGTCCAACCATCATCCCTACTCTAGAAACTTCTCCCCTAAACCATCTTCCTCAAATCCATGTCCCTACCCCTTCAAGAACCATGACAGGGAGGACCCGAGATCACCAGGAGCATGGGGACAGCTTGGGGACATATGGAGGTGGTGAGGAGGGCCAAGGGCTCCAGCAGTGGATGAAGACAGGAGGACAGGGCCCAGCCCTGTCCCACCACGCTGCCGTGTCCCCTCTCCCCAGGCCAGGCTGGAGGCCAACACCACAGCGCTGGGGGAGGAGCTGGTGGCCCTGAGGCACCAGCAGGCTGAGCTGGCCCGAGCCAAAGCAGCTCTGCAAGGTGAGGTCTGTCTGGCCACGATGTCCCCCTGTCCCCCTGCCACCGTGTCCCTCTGTCCAACCACCCCCATCCCCCCCAAGCTCCACTCCAAGACCTTGCCTGGGGGTCCCTCCAGCCCCACGCTTTTTGCGGGGCAGTGCCCAGCGGGATGTTGGGAGCGTGAGAGGTTGGGGTGACCCCGCTGTCCCCATCACCCCCCCCCAGAGGAGCTGGCGCGGGGGGAGGCGCTGGAGCT